GGCGGCGGCGGCGGTGGTGGAGGCGGTGGTGGAGGCGGTGGACAAGGTGATGGTTCAGGCGCTGGCTATGGCTCTGGCTCTGGCTCAGGCTCAGGCTCAGGCTACGGTTCGGGCGCTGGTGGTGGTCAGGGCGGAGGTTATGGCAGTGGCGGAGGCGGTGGAGGCGGCGGCGGAATGGGCTCTGGCACGGGCTCCGGCTCCGGCTACGGTTCCGGTTCCGGTTCTGGCTACGGTAGCGGTGGAGGAAATGGCCACCACTAGATTTACGCAATACAGATGTTGGAAGGTAGCAGGAATAAGAGCTTTAAGGTTGTATCAGCAGAAGTCCAGTATGATGCTTGGAGATGATGAAATAAGTGATGCTTGTGTAACACCTTATAAGTGGAACTTGCTTTCTTGCTTATAATAAATATATAAAGAATGCTTATTGCAAGCCTCGTTTCTCGTTCCAATTTGCTTGGAGTAAGTAATACACTTGCCAAAGCCAAGACTGAATCAAGCAGCATGTTCATCATATCAAGTATCACGAACGGGTTCCTCAGTTCCTAAAAATGAGAGACAGATAAAAGCTAAGATTACATGTAATCTGAATCGCTTCTTAGGATTTTGAACATATCTAGTATCTTATCTATTAAAATCGGAATAGAGAACTCTGGCCGTATCATTCGTATCCCCTTTCTCATGCATGTTTCTTCCGATTCGCATACTTTACGCACGCACTGCTATCATTCATGCATGTACGTATTTTATGTGGTCTCTTATTCCTCTGCTCGTCCCACACTCATTGTTATTATATGAATAGTCCCGGTCACAGAGCAAAACTTTGATATCAATACCGTTAAGTTGCTTATTAGAGTTTTCAATCTAATTAATTACTAGTTTCGTTGAATATTAGTGCAAATTATCTAAATCAACAACTGCAAATCCTCTACCACCTCATGCTAGAGAACGACATCGAGGATCTTATTGGACTTAAATGTGTTGTCCTGCAAATTTTGGCAGTAACAAAATAACATGATGGATGCATGAGCAGGATATCTTACCGCTATTTTTATTGAATATGCTTATATGCAAAGTAGCATGCTTTCTCGATGGAGTGTTTTGTATGGCTTATAAAGAAGAACATGAATTATCGTGCAGAAGCTAGAAGAAAACTGGTCCGTCATGCCTAGTATCAGATTCTATCTCCATTCACGCTTCTATGCAGTAGGTGGGAAAAGAAAAAACAAAAAAGCCTTTTTTTTGTTTTCTTTTATCGTTAATCTAAGTGATGAACAAAGAGGATACACATGAGGTCCACTAATTTATGTGTAAGCTGGATTTATTTTGTTTTGTGTTTTGTGATGTTAGTAGTTGTAGCTTCTAATTGGGGCATGCAATTTTTCTCTACCTCATTTTTTTGAGTCATTTTCAGATGATGTCGGGTTTTATTTTGGTTAAGTCCACCACGCTGTTAAATAATATACACTTCCAAAGGCCTTTAACCACTTTGCTTAGTCATATTTCCTCTTTACCTATTATTGTAAATGAAAATAAGGCGAGCCTTTACTTTGAAAGAAAAATCAAGATTATATATATATATATATATATATATATATATATACATATATATATATATACATATATATATATATACATATATATATATATACATATATATATATATACATATATATATATATACATATATATATATATATACATATATATATATATATATATATATATATATACATATATATATATATATAAACAATGTCTAAAGTGATGCATCGATGGCTGGCCTTCCCAATGATAATAAATCCCAGCTGATCATGAAAGAAAGGAGGGAAAAGAGAAGGTCGGGGCCGCTGTGTCAAAAAGACTTCCTTCCCGGCCCTCGGTTTCACACGACTCTCGAATACTATACGCTCATTAAGGCCTCGGATTTGGACTGTTACCCATGCAACCAAGCCTTATAAGTACCCTTCGGCTACCTCCCTCCACCACCACATTTCATCTCTCAGTTCACTGCTAGTTCAGCTGCAATGCTTAACAGAACTCGTGTTAGGCTTTGGCCTCTTGCCTTCATCGCACTTCTGAACTTTGAGCTCACCTTTTCTGCTAGATCCCTTACTGGAACTAGCGCCGGAGGTGTCGGAGGCGGGGGTGGAGGAGGTGAAACTGGTCGTGCGTCCGGATATGGCTCCGGCTACGGCGCTGGATATGGTGAGGGTGCCGGTGGGGGCGACTGCTGGAGGGTACGGCAAAAGAGGAGGCGGTGGCGGAGCTGGTCATGGGTCCGGATATGGACCTGGGTATGGCTCTGGTTATGATGAGGGTGCCGGTGGGGGCAGTGCTGGAGGGTACGGAAAAGGAGGCGGCGGCGGTGGAGAAGGGAGCGGTGAAGGTTCTGGTTATGGAGCTGGGAATGGTTATGGATCCGGTTATGGTGAGGGTGCCAGTGGAGGGAGTGCCGGAGGGTACGGCAGAGGAGGAGGAGGAGGAGATGGCGGTGGCGGGGGAAAAGGGGGAGGTGCCGGCTCTAGCTCTGGTTATGGGCGTGGGTATGGCTCTGGTTATGGTGAGGGTGCTGGTGCCGGGAACGCTGGAGGATACGGCAAGGGCAGCGGAGGCGGCGGTGGTGGCGGCGAGAAAATATTGTGAGAGAATATCGAACAAAATATATAAATAAAAATATGAGCAATAATTATTACTTACTTAAAGAATGAACAAACATCTCAATCTCACCTTATGCTTATAAAAATGCACAAATATTTTTATGCTTATACTTATTTGATCTTAATCTCACCTTCATCATTTATAAAAAGAAGCAAAGGTTCCTCACAGGGAATATGATCTTCAAGCTTTCTAAAGTCACATTGCCATTATAGAATGACGATAAATGATCATGAGATAGAAACAAGAGAGGATCATCAACGAGGAGACACCCAAGAGTGAAGCACGAATGAAGGATCAACTGTATACTTCGATCATATACATCATTTATAAAACTATATAAAGCTATATGAGTGAAAGACTGATGGAATCATAACACTGTCACATCATTACAATGATGAAAGAGGATAAATTTTAGTTCGTGAAAACTTACCTTCGTGCTCGACATCCGGTGAGTAGTTATTTGCGGACTTACAATTGTTCGTTTAGCTTTCTTCTTTCTTTTTTTCTCTCTTGCGCTTAAGGTGTTCACTGAATTACTTGTAATACTTTCATCTTTGCGAGACGTCGGAACTCGTCCGTTGCTTATTTTCGAACTAATCAACTTTTTTTTTTACAAATCCTACGAGACTTGAGCAAGGTTACAAATTAGTTGATTCTTTGTGGATGCATATTACAAGGGTACGTCATAACTTAAGTAATCTCAACTAAGTCCAAAAAATTGGCATAAGGGTGCATTATGACTTAGGCAACTCAATATGAGTCCATGACTTTACTACAAAGGTGTCTCATGACTTAGACAATTTCAACTAAGTTCATGATATTATGATATATATTTATCTTATATATATATATATATATATATATATATATATATATATATATATATATATTAGATTGTAATAGAATTTATGTAAGACACATTTGTATTAGGTCTTAAGCTTGTACATGATCATCAAAATGACATCATGCATAAATCTTAAAGTGCATATGGTAGAAGATTTTAAAATAAACATCGAATGAATCTCTAACCCCCTCTCTTTCTAGAATAATGTATATAACATTTATGTAAAGATAGACACTTAGCCTTATCCTATGGAACCCTATCCACCGCACTTGTGGGATAAGTCATATGGCATTCATCAAAAGAGATATCCATTCTTATAAAAATATTATAAACCTCACAATTTAGAAGGGATGAATGAAAAGTTAAAAACTTGCCGCCAATAACTTTATGTGAGATGCATAAATGAAGAGAGAGTAAGAGGCCCTCCTTTATCGATTCTTTTCAATTTTTCTCCTCCTTGTCATCCGTCTTCTTCATCTTCAATCATCACAATAATATCATTACTATCATAATAGTAGCACCATCACCGAAATCAGCAATAACATCATCATCATCAATGCACCCCCATTAATAACCACCACCATATATGTCACTTCTTCTATCGTACTATCAATACGATCATCATTTCATCGTCTACAGCCAAGAGTAATAGATCCTTTTCTATTATGTTAAAAAATATTTAATGGAGAAATATTCTTTATCCTCAAAATTTAAATGATGTATTAATTCAGAAAATATAATTGATCCAATCATATCTCATTTAGGATTGAATTTTGAGATACTTCATTTTCGGTCCATCCATCCAAAGTTAGCCTACTAACCCCTCATGTTTTTCTTTACTTTATTATTCTACGTTTGCTTATCTAAATTTATTAAATTATTATTTAAATTAATTAAAAAGTTAAACAAATCATTGTTTAGAAAATGAGTTAGCATCATTGCTACGACTTCTTTTATTTTTTAAGACTCTTTGACTTTATCACCTCTCATTATACATTTTAGTTTTGCTCATCATATATCACACCACTCACTCCTTTCTCAAAGATGGTAGACGAAACGTTTTCAGTCATATAAATTAGTAGCTACCACACTTTACAGCATGTCTTTCCCCATACAAACACAAATCAAAATATATTACGTGCTTAACTTTGAAGTTTATCAATGGAGAATAGATTGATAGATTTATACAACATTCTAGAAGCCCGTTCAAGATACAATACAGAAATATAAAGCATTTAAGACACCTGAAAATACATAAAGCATCGAGATATATATATATATATATATATATATATATATATATATATATATATATATATATAATCTCGCTTTGTATCCTACATGGTAGTGAAGCCAATGTCATTTAAGTATATATCTTTCAACATTTTTTCCTTTCTTGTTTGTTTGTAATCTCCAGGCTCTTTCGGATATCTCATATTCGTTTACAAATGAGAATCAATGATTAGCAATCATCTCATTGTATTTTTCCTACATTAACAACATAATATTTTTAAATAAGTATCATCTGATTAAATATAAATATAAACAATAATAAATCGTTCATACCACAACTTATTTGGCATAATCATCAACCCACTTATTCCTCATTTTGTCCTTGTGTGTTACCTCAAAAAAAAAAAAATTCTTGGATGGTTCCTTACCTATGCATCTTATCTAACATTAAAAAAAAAATATTAGTATCGAATATAATAACAAAAAAAAAAATTTCGTTCATAACTTTTGGATCTTGAAGCATGGCCTATTTTTTGAAATTATGGCATGAATACAAAGACGTCGCCGGAATATTTGAGAACTAAATAATTTACGAATCATTTCGATCGATCATGCGGAATTGTATGAAGATATTTTTTTCTTGATAAGTGGCATTCACATTAAAGTATTTTATTTCTATTTTATACTTCATTTGTGTATGATGATCATGATACACATTCTTTATGATTGATTCTTTTGTACTTCAATTATAAATATCAGGAATCAAATTATGAAAATATAGCATTAAATCGTCATGCACACAAAGATACTAATTTGTAAATCTTATTCTTCTTATGTTGTTCGATGTTATCACCATTCTTGACATTGAAAGGAGTATAATAAGGATTCTTCAAGATAATTTGGGTGATTAAGTAGTGGATTGTCCTCCCTAAAGGTTTACCATTAGAAAATCAATTGGAACATCACCCTTTGGAAAATCAATCAACGGCTTGATCTAACATGTTTATCCTATTCCCTTCTTTTCGCTGGAATAAGATCCTAATAAAAAAGTTATCACATTGAATAGCATTAAACGATAGAATTATAACATATAAAAACTATAGCATCGAGTAATAAAAATGTCAAAAGAGAAAGACATCTTACCAATCAGACTAAACATCTTTAGTTGACCGGCGAGTGCTTGCTCGACGTGTTCTCATTGTGCTTGGCATTGATGATTCCTCTTCCTCCTGTGACCTTGCAAGAGAAAGTTTTTGACCTTTGCATTGTTTTCTGTCTCAAAACTATGGCTTAGAGACCAACAGTAACCAAAAGCAATCAAATTCGGAACTTCTGTTGTGTCTCCAATAGTCATGAAGTAAAGGTTGATCGAGTGCTGAAATCAAAGAAAATACTTCAGAATGAGTAGAGAAAAAACAATAGAGTCTATCGGAACTAAATGAGCATTTAATTCTAAAACATCAACACAGAATGATGATGTTGGAAACATACAATTAGAAGCTATACTATTCAAAATCATTACGACCGACCTTAGAGAATTCAAAAGAAAGATAAAGATAATATGTTCAAAATCTGTGACCTTTGAAGAGTACTAAAATGTTTGGAGTTAAATAATATCTTAATCTTCTTGAGCAAGAAGGACATCTTCCGTGTCATCATCATCATCATCGTCAATGAAATCTTCAATATCATACATACTCTCTATAATCGTCAGCAATTGCCTTATATTTCGAACTCGCTCATATCAATAGTTAATCGTTGAAGATTATTTATTTCCCAAATTAAATCATTGATATGACTTCGTATTTCATTAATATTACAAGTATGACTATTGTTGTTTGAAGACTGAATTGTCTCATTGTCTTGTTTTTTCTCCGTTCCTTTTTCGTATTGAAAATCATCACATTATAAAAACCTCGAGAGGCAATTTTTACAACATCATTAATATTTTTAACTTATTCAACATGACTTACAAGAACAAAGGGATGAGTTATCCCTCCTCCTAGAGTACGAGATAAATCTTTTATAGTAAAATTATAATCATCAACAATAATTCTTCTTTTTGGATAATCGAGGTCAAACTAATCACACTTAAACAGCACAACTTGATAACCTCCTATATAGTGGAATTCAATAATGTCACCTAAAACCTAAAAAAATAAATAATGCTTCCTATTTTCATGATCCTTGGTATAGAAACGAAAATCATTTACGATGTATCCAGTGATTTATTACATCACACTATACACTAGTGACATAAGTTGATTATCGACTTCTTGCATTCATGCAATGTATTTTTGGCATAAAATTAAGTTAATAACTAATAATTTTATAAATAAAAACTATTTATAAATATACTTGCATATTTTTCAAACCACATGACAAGGATCTTATTGACATTTGCATTCATGTGGTCTTTTTTTACATTATTCACATTCTCTATATAAAATACATAACGAGAAAATACCAAACAAGATATATATATATATATATATATATATATATATATATATATATATATATATATATATATATATATATATAATCTACAATTATTACTCGCTTAAAGAATAGATAAACTTCTTCGTAATTCTGCAAAACAAATATATGACCTAAATTCCACTCCTTCATACCAAGCTTACTTAATTTTTTTACCTAAACATAAAGAACATCCAGATTTTGCAAATATAGTCAATTCCTTGTTTGAACTTAATCTCACCCTCATAATTTCTTGGTATCTAATTAAATATTGTTTCTATATTATGCATATATCTGGAATAAAATGTGAGACATTCATCAGCAATATTCCCTTCTACAATGGAACCTTTTGGATGAGCCATATTCCACACATAATTTTTCAATGTTCTCATATATCTAACATGACGAAAGCATATATTAGATAAGTATTTTTTAAAAATATTAATACAACAAAAATATACTATAAGATATAGTACCTCTCAGTCGAATACATCCACCTATATAGCACTAGGCCTCCAGTTTTAGCCTCACTTGCTATGTGAATTGGAAGATGCTCCATCATGTCAAAAAATGCTGAGGAAACATCATTTCAAACTTGACGATCTAACTCATAAATGCTTACAACTTTAGCACAAAGATCTTCGAAAAATAAACAAAGCTCAATTAAAACATCACAGACGTTCTTATTCAGTATACCTCAAAAGTGCCAGTGGTAATAGATTTTTCGAAAGAATTTGATAATCATGGACATATCTTTGTATATTCGCAAGTGGTTTCACTAGAATAATATGAAGATTATTACTTGCATTGATCGAAAATGTAACGAAAAGCACAATGACCATGTCTAAACTTATCTACCTCTTGATACATATTTTGAGAGGCCAACGAGAGATGCAGAGGCTACAATTGCAAGTCGATGAGGGTTGCTAATTTAGCTTTAATTTAGATGGCAATGTTTCCATCAACTTTATAGCTATTCTAACTTATATAATAGTTACCTTCTGTAAAAGAAGAAGAAGGAGAGACTGAAACAAAAGCTAGAGAAGGAATCAGAGTGATGAAAGAAGTATTCTAAACTTTCATCTCCCCACTTTTGTGTTCCTGGTTCCCAATATGATTGAACTCAAGCAGCAGCAGTTTCTTGCAGCACATGTATAAGCTGGAAGCAGACTTATGCACAGTAACTTTCAGAAACTCTATGAAATCATTTAGTACAGAGTCTTTGTTTCTACCACAAGCAAAAGAAGATGGAGAGATGAGACCTTCCTACCGACTTCAACTTAGTCCCGCAAGCGACAGGGTTCTGGAGTGTGCCCGACGAACAAAGCCACATGACCCATGAGCTTGTCCTTCCTGGAGAAGTTGGTTCCGCAGGAGCACCGCCACCGCAGATCCCCGCAGTGCTTCTCGTGCGTCCGGAGATCCGACAGCACCGAGAACTGCTTGAGGTTGCACCGATTGCACACGTACATCTTGGGGCAGTGGCTCCGCTTGTAGTGGTTCTTCGCGCACACCACCGACTTGAGGGGCTGGAACTTGGCGTGCTTCCTGTTCCACCTGCAACCATCGTGGGGACACGAGTACTTCAGGGCCACTCCTGAGCTGCTACTCCTGCTGCTCTTCGTCGGGTTGGCCAGCGCTGCAGCGCTCTTGTACTCATCCCCGTGCGCTCTCATGTGCATCCTTAGATTTGCGTCACGCCGAAACCCTTTGCCGCATACTTGGCAGTAGTGCGTGTACTTGGCTAAGAGATCAGCCGCATCCAATTCGATTATAGTATATCCGTTCGACGAGAGACCTTGAGAACATTCCTTCCTCATTCCGGCACGATCAAGGGGCGGTTTCACCTTTCTAATTTGATCCCTGGTAACGCTACCATTGTCGACGTCAATAGCAGAATTGGCACTCGGATTATTGCTGCTGAAGAAATCGTCCTTCCTAGTGATTCCTAGGCTGTTATTTGATGAATGATCCATCCATGCTGTTGCGCTTTCGACCTTCATGTCACTCGGTGGCGGCTCCTCGTATGCAACGGCAGTGCTTGGGCCCACTTGCGGAAGCGTGCAACTCAGTGATGATGCCGCAAGAATGATCTCCTGTATCATGATTCCTGCACAGGAGACTCCCATGGCTATCGACTCCTGCTGTGTTCGATTCGGAGAGGTCATCATGCTCACGCAAGATTCCAATTGCTGCACCTTTTCTCTAAGGACCGAGAGGCTATACAGAAGAGCGTGGGAGGATGTGATCTGATCCGTGCCAGAAGCAGCGGCTCCGGCGGATGAGTAGAGGATATCATCCATCCCTTGATAAATGTGGAAGCTGTCCTGCGGGCTTCTCTGCAAACACGAAGAGGTGTCTGAAATCATGGCCGGGGCTTCTGCAACTCCTCCTAATTACAAGGCTTGTATAGTAGAAGAGAAATGGGACTTGGGGAAGGAAGGATGCAAGAACGGGGAAGATATAAGAGAAGGATTCGGCGTGGAAGTCAACTTAGACGTTATGAACATCCCTGCTTGAGCCTTCCTCAAAGCCCACCGATCCCACATACGACAGACATTGGAAATATACTATTATGTTCCGCAGCATTAGAATACTCGTACAAAGAGGACCGGGCGCAGTTTCCTTTTTCTCCATTCGTGGTGTCTCCCTCTTGAGGTTCTCTCGCATGGCTTGTTGATTCCTTCAACATTTCCATTCTCCATTACTGTTGTGATCTCAACCTCTTACAACTCATCTTGGATTCGGTCATATCTGTGGCGGCCATGGGAAAGAACACCTACTTCTGCACAGAGAGAGAGAGAGAGAGAGAGGAGGCGTTGTCGAGACCAACTTGGAAACTGGATTGGGATATAGTAATAGTTGCTTCCGGGGTGAGGACGACCGCACCAGCGTGGCGGCTTGGCAGCTTGCTGCTGATCTGGGGGACAGGGCCCACCTGCAGCAATAATGCACTGACACGTGGTTCGGTCATCGCCTGGATGAGACGAACGGAAATTTTTATCCGCAAGTGTCATCCTACATAAAATTCACATCAGTAAGATTTGATAGATCTTTAGTCACATGAATAAAAATGCTTGGATTTAACTTTTAGTACTAAACTCATCCAATCTTAGATACCAACCAAATCTATGGTTTGATGCGTATGTGTGACAAAGCTAAAATATCATAATATACACGCACACACCCATTTCAAACTATGCTATGTGACTGCCGTAGGAAAATTGTGCTGTGGTGTACGTTGTTGATTGGTTTGTTAGCATATGACATTGGGCTCTCGCATTCATGTCGCAACTGGGATCCGGTGCGGGCCCCATCTCGATCGGTGGTTGATTCATGTCGTCCTGTATGCAACGAACGAGTGGGTGAAACCGTGATGGCCACGGTTGCTGAGCGGACTACTGCGCATTCCACGGTACGCTGACGTGGACGCGATCCAGGGTATTTCACGCACAGCTGGCGGCTCTTTATTATTCCAGTCCTGGGCTCCACTAATGGGACCCAACGGTTGCTGAGCGGAAACACCGACCCCATCCGGAAATCCAAGTGAGAAACGCTTTCTATTTATATTTATATTTATATTTTATTTTATTTAAAGAGCAGGTGACGAACCTAAAATTCAAATTACCATAAATTATTGAAACATAATAAAATTACAGAAATAATCAGATTTCCATCTTCATTATCTGCTATTCGTTCTACCAAAACCAAGCAAATTACTTTTACACATCATAACCAGATGGCACCGTAATTATTTCCCTTCACAATAATGATGCCTACTACTTATGAGATTTGATCCAATTTCACCGAAGTCATGAAGAATCTATCTACTCTGGTCGAGACTAATTTAGTAACTCCTGACCAAGAACAAACCAATCCCCGCGACGAGAAGGGTTGAGGGGACACCGAAGCGGAGATGGCCGAGGAAGGAGAGGTTGTAAGCGAAGTACTGAACTCGCCGAGCTTGCTCACACACTATAAGGTTCGCCGCAGAGCCCAACAAGGAGAGGTTGCCGGCCACCGTGCTGACCCATGCAAGTATGAGCCATGCCCGCATCTCCTCAGCGGGTGATATAAGTGCCGCAGATGCGGCAATTCTTCCGCCCAGCAGCAGAACTGAAACGAGCAGAACAGAGGGTGAGGAGAACCATTCTAACATTAACGACAGCAGTTCATCATGGATTGGCTGGCCAATTCTTGATGGATTAAAATGATCGAGGTGGTCTATTACTATAGTGAGCCGATCTGGTTTTCGGTAAACATAAGATGCCCCATTCTCCAAATACTTCTTTCATTAAAGTCCATTCAACTTAATTTAGAGCAAAGGAATGTAGATTTCAGTTCTGAAATGTTAAGTTCAATTAGGTTCTGAGAAATCCAAACAGTAAATGTCATCGAGACGTTTAGTTCAGTCCGAGTACGTACTTAGGTGGCACTAAAGAAAAGGAAGAAGAAGATACCTGTAGGGACATTGGAAGCAACATTTGAGAGCACAAGAATCACCAGAGAGAGAAGTGTGATCCCACTAGCACTGTCGATGCGAGCATATGGTTCCACGAACTCCCACAAAGCACTCGGTATGCCGGTTTTGTTGAAGCCATCCACGGTTATGAACATCCCACAGAAGAAGATTAAGAGGGAGTATGAAACCTGCTTCCGATTGTGCAGCAGACAAGGATGGCTCAGGCAAACCCAAGATGAACAATGCAAGAAGCACTGTATCAATCGAATCGAACGCGATCCAAATTACCTTCTCCAGGCAAGGGCAAGCATCCTTGAAATCCAGCACGACCAGAGCAAGAGCCGCAGTGATTGCAGTCCACGACATGTTTAGCCCCATCAGAAGAGAGATGAGCATCCCGATAGTTACAAGATAGACGCAGGCCTTCCACATCCTGCTCTTCCACATCTCCATGGAGCTTTCCTTGGAGTCCGCGGCTTGGAGAGAAGCCTCTTCTCTCGAGACGCATCTTTGGCTGCTGTAGGTCCTGGAAACCCTCCTCGATGATACACCTTCCTCTCTGTGAGCGATTCCAGCACCCTCTGCTGCGTCTCGAGATGCGGCCGAGGCCCTCATTGACTCGATTCCAACATTTGATGCGTTCTGCACATCGATGTCGATGCTGTTGCCCCTGCTCCTTATGCTACTGATATGGGCGAACTCCCCCGACAAGGATGGGCTCCGGAAGAATGCCTCAAGGGAAGAACCAAATTCCTGGGAGTTCAAAGAAGCAACGTGCGACATGGTAGCCGGCGAGAACCGGTGCAAGGTCATGTCGTCCTCAGCCACCACCTCCCCGACCGCGGAAGCCACCTCCTCATCCTTCTCGACCGACAGTAGTTTCCAGAAGTAGCAGAGGAGGATGGCCGCATTCAGAAGGCCCCCAAGAAGCACCGCGGGGAACAGCCCCGCCAAGAACTTCTCAAAGGAAATCCCGCTTTGCACCGCGATGACCAGGTTTTGCGGGTTGCCGATCGGAGTGGCCGCAGATCCGATGTTGGAGCTGGAGGCGAGGGCCAGAAGAAAAGGCTGCGGCGGCAGGTTGTTCTGCCTCGCGAGCTTCAGTATGAACTCCGTGAGGACGACGCAGCAGGTGTCGTTTGTGAAGAGAGCGCTGGAGACGGCGGAGACGAGGCAGATGCGGACGAGCAAGTCCTTGCCGCCCCGGCTCTTCCAGGAGAGCAACTTGCCCAGGTACTTGAACATGTCGGCCTTCTCCAGGAAGACGCTGACGACCATGGTCCCGAAGAGGAGGCCGAGGATGGGGAGGTCGATCGCGTCGTAGGCTTCCTCCGGCGGTATGACGCGGAAGATCACCATGAGCATGGCGCCGAGGAGGGAGCCTGCGGTTCTCCCGATCGGGAGGAAGGGAACCGCAGGGAAGACGGCTAAAACCCAGAATATGCCGAAGGCAATGGAGCCGAGAACCACCTTCACCGGAGCTGCCATGGCCATCTTTCAACAAGGGAAGTAGATGGAAGACAAGGATCAAGCAGTCAACAGCAACCCATGGAGTTCAAGCCACCCATGATTACGATTTCGATCGCCCAAAGCTACCGAAAAGGAAATCTTGTAAAAGAAAGCGGATTCTAATCACTCCATGATGACCAAAGCACTAGAACGGCTCTGCTTGCTGATCGGATGTCCGTCTTCCTGCAAGAGCGAGCCATGCAAGCACAGCCGATTAGGAAAACTTTTACGGAACATAGAACTCAGAGCCAACTCAGAGCCAGAGAAACAAAAAGGAAAAGAAATCCAAACACTCACTCAACTGAATCGAGTAGCAATGGTCGAAATCCACAGCAAGCATTAGGAAGAGGGGCCACCTGCTGTTGCAGCATGCAAGACGATGCAAAAGGCGCCACATAGAGGAGGAAGAATGTGAGGCCACGGCACATGAATTGATATTGCAAGTTTGGCAGCGCTTATAAGGAAATTGGAATGAATCCAATAAATTTCGGCCTTCTATTTTCTTTTTTATGTGGACATGAAAAATCACCCCAAGATATGTAGACTCGATCGATTGATTTTGTTATCATCTTTTGATATCATAACAATCATGAAGTAATTCGCCAAATTTAGAGCCTCTTATTGATTTTTAGTAATAAGACCAACTCAAAAATAAAATCATCTAAAGTTACTTATTATAATATATATATATATATATATATATATAAAATAAATGATGAAAATGACATTCGGATACTTGTAATGATACGTCAACATCTTAATTAGATAAGTAGTCAACACTTATAAATATATCAAATGAGAATTTTAAAGTGTCTTACTGCATATATATATATATATATATATATATATATATATATATATATATATATATATATATATATATATATATATATATATATATATATATAT